CTCTCTCTCTCTCTCTCTCTCTCTCTCTCTCTCTCTCTCTCTCTCTCTGTGTGTGTGTGTGTGTGTGTGTGTGTGTGTGTGTGTGTGTGTGTGATAGTATAATAATGTCTAACTCTCACCCACATTTAAGGACTTACTTAAATGAATAAAATTTCTTAGGTACCTGACATTCCGTCAAATGACCATGCTCTGTGAATACAGCTCAGATGTTGGCTGCAGTGGTTACAGTTACACAGTTATACTTTTTGTGGTAGTCTTTTCACAAACCCCGATCCTTCAGCAATGTCAATGCTCACCTCTGCAAGTATTAAAACAGCTCTAAATAGACTGATCTAAAAATGTAAAAGGGCATTCAAGAACTGTCCAGTTACCAAACAGATTGCTCTCTAACATGTTTTAAATATGGTGAAAGACACCCAGGGGAGATCTTCCCTCAGGAGAGACCCCAAACCCAAGGAACACGCCGAAACCATGAATCAGATGCAAACAGCAAGAGGGTTTATTCAGATACACAGGTACCTGGGGCGAAGTCTCTTGGAGGACTTGCGCGCCTTCCTAGGGCAAGGGAGACTTTTTATAGGATCCCAGGGGCAGAGGCGCGGTTACAGAAGTGAGAAGCATAGTTACAGGGCTCCTATTGGTTGTTTCAAAGAAGGCCAGGGTGAACTTGGGGTCGTATTCTTAATTTTCGGAAATTTGATGTATGTGGCTGACTTGGCCTTGCCCAGGGTATAGTGGGCGTTTTTCCAGCCCAGCTGCTTATTCCTCAAGGCCAGGGGGCCAATTATAAATATCCTGATTTGACTCAACGGTTTTTCTCCCAAGGCCGATGGCCGACCACAGTTATCTCTCTCTCAAGGCCGGTGGCCGACCACAGTTATCTCTCTCTCAAGGCCGGATGGCTGGCCACAGTTATCTCTCTCTCAAGGCCGAATGGCTGGCCACAGCTGTGAACTCCTGTTTTTCTGATTCCTTCAGAATGGCGTTTCTTAGACTAAGTTATTGGGACTGGGGGGGGGGGCATTTCATCGGCCCAACGCCCCATGTCCTCATAATGGAGTGGGGGTCTTTCATTCCCCCATTTTCTTTTGTACCAAATGGAATCTTTCATTTTAGGATGGAGAATAAGGGGTCAGCTCCATCTCTGACTGTCTGAGCCTCTGATATTGCTGGGTTAGGATCAAAGCCTGGACAACAGAAACCCTATCCTTGATGAATTGCACCAATCTGTTGAGGATGCATGGCCCAAACAATAAAATGAGCAGGAGGATGATTAGGGGGCCCATGATGGTGGAAACAAGGGTGGTAAACCATGGTGATCTTTGGAACCATCCTTCAAACCATCCCTGTTGAGACTCAAATAATTGCTGTCTCTGTTTTAATCTTTCTCTTAATTTAGCCATGTTATCCCTGACTACTCCAGTATGATCTGCATAGAAGCAACATTCTTCTTTGAGGGCAGCACATAACCCGCCCTCTTGTAGGAAGAGTATATCCAGCCCTCTTCTATTTTGCAGCACTACTTCTGATAGGGATGTCAAGGATTTTTCTAATGCACTAACCGATTCCTCTAGGGCTTTGATGTCTGTATTCATGGCTACTTGGAGCTGTCTGAATTGGCCAGTCTCCATGAGGGCTGCAGTCCCTGTACCTACCCCGGCAGCTATTCCGCCCATGGTAATTCCTCCCAGTAACAGGGCCAGCGTCAGGGAAACAGGCTCTCTTATTAAACGGGTGTTTTTCATTTCAAAGTGACTACAAATATATTCAGGTTCATGATAAGTAACTTTGGGCCATAATTCTATTAATATACAATAGTCAGAGGTCAGGTTCAGCACTGTAGTGGAGACGCAGGGAGTGAGTCCCGTGCTGCATGCCCAAAATGTTCCTTTAGGGGCTGTAAGATAATAAGCCCCTGATGGAAGGGCCTGGGTGGAATTGCAAAGACCCTGGTGGGATGGCGGAATGGCCCCTAAGCAGAGCCCTCGTCCGGAGGCTTCTGAGAGAGTCAGCTTGTGCTGGGGGGCAGTGTGGCAGCTTGTAGAAGGGGAAGTCTGGTTAGTAAAATTCCCCATAACAGCAATCCCTTCGTAATAAGGGGGACTTGAAATTAGACAAAGCCAGCAGCTTCTGGTTTTGTTTGGGGCAGTGAGGTTGAGGGTTAGATACGCCCCTTGGATTAATTTCAGGAGTCTATCTCCAGTGCCTGGCCTTACAAGGGAAGCAGTGGTGGCCATGCTGGCTGTAGGGGTCAATGTAATAGATTGGTGGGGGAGCTGGGCTGGGGCTCTTTCAGGTTGTGAAGGTGATTTCTGTTCTGGGAGAACAGGGTTGGGGCCCACAGGAACGTTAACTGATTCTATCTTTTGTTTTACTTGGAAGATGAATCCCCTCCCCTGTCTGTTCCCGTCATATAGAACCTGACTCCCCAAGACCTTCCATCGGTCCATGAAGACAACTTTGTGCCCTTTGGAGTGAAGGAAATGTTTAGTGAATCTTCTCCCTTCTGACTTCATCTCACCTTGATGAGATCCCAACTGGAGCTAGGCTTCCAGTACGCGTCCTCGGTCGTTTCACATCCCCATTTTGCACAAAAAAAAGATTCTAGTCCCCCACATTTGTAAGTCGTATCCCAGTCCCTTCCGTCCCTAGGGCATACATACAGCTGGGTCTGCTGCAGCTTTCTATAGGCTGGGTCAGCGCGATCAGCTCTGCTCTTTGGGCCGATGTTCCAGGCGGCAGCGGTGAGGCCCAACCTACCTCTGAGTCGGTGGTAACGGCTACTCCGGCCCTCTGTTCTCCTTCTTTGAGGAAGCTGCTCCCATCCGTGAACCAGATAAAATCTGGGTTCGACAGCGGTTGATCTGTTAGGTCGGAGCGGGTGCCATGGGCCTCTGCCAGAATCTGGAGGCAATTGTGCTCCTCAGATGGGTCTGGCAAGGGCAGCAGGGTTGCGGGGTTGAGGGAGACAACTGGTCCGAACACTACTCGGTCTGTGTCTAACAACAGAGCCTGGTAGTGGGTCATCCTGGAATTTGAGAGCCATCTATCTGGGGGCTGCCGGACCAGAGCTTCCACTGCATGGGAGGATAACACAGTTAATGGCTGTCCCAAAGTCAGTTTCCCTGCATCCTTGAGCAAAACAGCAATGGCGGCTACCATGCACAGACAGGGGGGTCATCCTGCAGCTACCGGGTCTAATTTCTTGGATAGATAAGCTACAGGTCTCTTCCATGGCCCCAGTCTCTGTACCAGTACTCCTTTTGCAAAGCCTGAGTTCTCGTCCACGAACAGTTCAAAGGGCTTAGTCAGATCTGGTAGGCCAAGAGCTGGTGACTCAAGTAAGGTTCTCTTAATTCGTTTAAAGGCCTGTTGTTGCTCCTCTCCCCAGTGGAACATGACCCCGGGCTTGGTGAGAGGATACAGAGGGGCAGCCATCTCAGCAAAACCTGGGATCCAGAGGCGGCAGTAGCTGGCTGTACCTAGGAACTTCCTCACCTGGCGGGGGTTCTTTGGAGGGGGTATGGAGATTATGGCCTCCTTCCTTGCTTCGGTGAGCCATCTCTGTCCTCCCTCTAGGGTGTAACCCAAGTAAATGACTTTGCTTTGACAAATCTGGGCCTTCTTGGGCGAAGCCCTATAGCCCTTCTGTCCCAGTTTAGCCAAAAGGGCCCGAGTGCCTCTCAGACATTCAGCCTGGGTTCTGGCTGCTAGGAGGAGGTCATCCACATATTGGAGCAAGATTAAGGCCAGATGTTCGACCCGGAACTCGGCCAGGTCTGAGTGTAAGGCTTCATCAAAGAGGGTCGGGCTGTTTTTAAACCCCTGGGGGAGTCGAGTCCAGGTCAACTGTCCTGAAAAATCCCATCTCTGGGTCTCTCCATTCAAAAGCAAACAGCAGTTGGCTCTGGGGGTGTAATTTCAAACAGAGGAAGGCATCCTTCAAGTCCAGTATCGTATACCAAATGTGGGTTGGTGGAAGAGTGCTGAGGAGGTTGTAAGGGTTTGGCACCATGGGGTGTATATCTTCAACCTGTTTATTAACCTCCCTCAGGTCTTGAACCGGTCTGTAATCCCCTGTCCCAGGTTTTTTTTACAGGCAGGAGGGGGGTATTCCAAGGGGATCGACAGGGCACGAGTACCCCCTGGTCCAAGAGCCTCCGGATGTGTGGTTTAATGCCCTCATGGGCTTCCCGGGACATAGGATACTGTTTGATTGAAACGGGAGTGGTGGAGGCTTTTAACTGAATAACAAGTGGGGGTTGGTCGTGAGCCAGCCCCAAGCCGCCAGTCTCTGCCCATGCCGAGGGAAATTCCCTCAACCAGTCCTGCATCCCTTGTGGTGGCCCCTTAGAGGGCTCGGATTCAAACAGGCGGTATTCTTCTTCCAGTTTTAGGGCTAGGACTTGTAGGGGGGTCCCTTTGGGTCCTGTAACGGTCAACCCCTTGTCATCAAAATAGATCTGAGCCTTGAGCTTAGTCAATAGGTCTCGGCCCAATAATGGGTGAGGGCAATCGGGTATATGCAAAAAAGAGTGGGTTACCTGTCCAGATGCCAGCTGAACCTTTCTCTCGGTGGTCCATCGATACCTCCTGCTACCTGTGGCCCCCTGGACCAAAGCTGTGCAGTCACTGAGAGAGCCTCCGGTATGGGTCAGGACTGCATGTTGAGCCCCGG